GTACCCTGTCACCTGGTTTGCACCACTGTCCCAGTGTCTGCCCCTCTCCAGGTCTAAGTGTCCCTGGAACATCCTCGCCACAGACTTCGTGTTTGCTCTCCCCGCTGCATCCTGCCGCATTCACTTTTCCACCACAGCCATCTGGCTCCAAAAGCAAATATTCCTTTATAGTGATTTCTCTTAGATCTGATGAGCTAATTGGTACACCCAAGCATGCTTTCAGGCTTCCTGTTGCATCTTTATGCCCCATTCCTTTCTTTTTGAAAAATATTTTATTTATTTATTTATTTGGTGCAGAGTCTTGCTACACAGCTCAGATTCATACTGATCTTCCTGTCTCAGCCTCCCCAGTGCTGGGATGACAGGCACACGCCACCATGCCCTGTTTCAGTGGCCAGCATGGTGCACCTGGGGTTCTTGGGCCAGCACGGCATGCAATATGGGGGATTGAACCCAGGCCTTTGTGGTGCCAGGCAGGTGCTTAGACTGCTGAGCTGTCTCCCAAGCCCCCATCCCTTTTCTTTTTACACCCTGGTCCTCCTACCTCTCCAGTCATTCTTTCCTCCTTCTACATCTCTTCTCGGAAGGCTCCCTTCATTGTGGAAATGCTGCTGTTTTTCTTCTCATTCTCTGTGACGCTCCGGGAAATCTCACACTCTCTCTCTGATTATTTGCAAGCCCTGACTGCTCTTCTGGATCCCAGATGTCACTCACCCACCCGTCCATTCAGTAAATACTGCTGACATGCCCACTAAGTGCCAGCTGCTCCTTAGGCACTGTGGACACATCTGTGACACCAACAGCCATGGCCTTGTCTGCACAAAGCACACAGCCTGGCAGGTGACACAGACAGGCTCTTCAGCGAGCAAAGCGGTGGAGAAATGCAGCATGGAGCAGTGCTTGCTAGTGGAAGCTCCTTAGCAGACTGGACTCACGGCAGCTACGTGCCTCAGGAAGCACAGGAGAGTTCTACCCACTTACATCAGCTCAGGGGAGTACGGGCTGCGGCTTTCCTTAGAATTTCAAAGAGATCTTTGACTCAGAAGTGGTTAAAATGCGCTAGCCTGAAGGTGGGTTACTGAAATGATGTCACACTGGAGCACAATCAAGGCTTGAAATCAGATTTGGCAACTTCTCTAAAGAGAGGCGTGGGCTGGATTGTGCTTCACAGACCCTTCAGGGAAAGAGCTCAGTAGGGGGACTTCAGACACGCAGTGAAGGCAGGAGGGTAATTTCTACAGAGTCACTGAAGCTCCTGGAGGACTGGCCATGCTGCTCCTATAGCTCTGAGTAACACTGTCTCAGTTACTTTTCTCTTGTTGCTGAGACAATATACCCAACACCCAAAGTTAAGGAAGGATACGTTTTTGTAGCTCACAGTTTGTGCAGGTTTCAGTCCATACTCAGGTGGCTTCAATGCACAGTAGCACAAGGCAGAGGGCAGCGGTTCAAGATGCCAGAATAGTAAAAGCAGCAAGAGCACAAGGGGAGCAGCAGCAGTACCTCGCCTCTTTCCCTCCCGTCTGTTATATGCAGGTGACCCAACCCAGGGCAGATGCAATCCCAGCACTGGATCATGACTCCATGAGAAAGTTGTAATTGTGCCCCATGACTGCACGAGGCCATAGGGGGCCATCTAGACAGAAACCGTAACAGAGCCTTTCCCCAAATTTCCCAGCACCACAATAATATGCCACAGATGCCGACTCCCGGGGTGAGACAGACAGGCCAAGGCTCCCAGGAAAGGCAGAAACTCCAAAGGTTCAAGTGCACAGCAAGACCAAATTGTAGGGCCTGGAGGGGCCAAATTCAGTCCCAAATATGTTGCTGGATCCTCATAGTTTTGGAGAAGAGAGATTTATTTTTCCAAGATTCAAAAGTCTGGGAAGTTCACAAAGTTATAGACTTACAGCTTCTCTTAAAATACAGAGGACCTGACTATGTTGGTGACCCCCATGTAGGGCTGGTGACTGTGGCTCCTGTGAGTGAGATGTGTGTTTTCCATGCCCCCCAACTCCAACCCTCACTCTTAGCTGTGGCCCTCTTTAATGGCACCTAAGAGCTCTGTACCTCTGAAACTCTGGTATGAACAAACAAGGACAGAGAGCAAACAGAAAGCCTGGAAAACATCTATTCGCCAGGCAGGAGGAAAGAAACACAGAAGAAAAAAATATGCCAAGAACTAAAATGGAAGGAATACAAATTCTCTTAACACAAAATGTCCTACATTATGTTGCCTCCTGGGAAATCTAATATCCAAGATGCCTCTTACATAGTTCCATTTGGATTATGAAAAGTTCTCTTTATCTCATCCTTTACTAGACTAAAATAATGACAATTAAAATTTTGGCACCATGGGTAGCAGGAAAAACCATGCCTGAATGATTAAGAAACTACTTTGTGTCTGCTTAATAATATTGGGAGAACCCTTATATTTCTTTCCTACAAATAAATATTCCCATCAACTATTAACAAATTGGGCATCTGAAAGTTAAGATACATTAAAAGGAGATTATTGGTATTTGATTGTTTTGTACATTAGAGATGCATGTAATATTAATGACTCATGATCACAACTATTTTCTTGAGTCTTTCTAAAGCGCATATTAATCATCTGTTAATGGTACCATAACTCTTGTAATAGAAGCCCATGTTTCACTTCACACGTTTCCTACTCAGAGACAGCCATTATGGATGTTGCCTGGGCATCCCAAGCCAGTCCTTTCTCTCCACCACTAATACTTTCATTCTCTTATCTGTCCTGGTGGGAAGCCAGCCTACTTGTGGGCATCAGAGAGGACATGGGAGAAAATGTAATTTGTATGAAATAGGAAACAAGGTCTCTCTTTAAGTTCATCATTTGAAGTTCATCGCTATAAATCTGAAGTTTGATAGATCTTCTAGCTTAAACACCCTTGAAGGTTACATCTTGGCTCTCAGTGCCTTAGTGATAAGGCTGTGTTATAAATTGCAGACAGCCCACATGGCCCTACAGCATTTCCTGAGTGATGCAGATAGGAACAGAACTACAAGGGAGCTTCAGCAGAGGAAGGAATCAAAGACTTTTCCTGGTGTGCAAATCCACCCACAATGCCTTTATTGCCATGCAACTTCTCAGCTTTTAGTTTGTGCAGGATCAGCAAGACGCACAGAGTTCCTGGTGCCATGGACTACACCCAACACATCATAAGGGGAAATATTCTTTAAAGATTCTTCCTCTTTGAGCTGGGAACTGATTTATATTATTATATGCTCAAGGCTCCTGGGGGAACAGTGGCCAGGAAGGAACAAGGAAGACATTTTTGAGATAGTGACAGTCCAACCCCTGAAAGAAATGCTGATGAGCATCATAATCACCATAGTTCCCTGAACTCTAGGAGTAGCTTTTGTGTGCGTAAAAGGTATCCAAATTCACACTCAGAATGGTGCACGGCTACTCTTTGGGACACTACCTGCCTTCTCACTTGAAAGCCTAACAACTTCAAAATAAATCCTACTGCACTTCTGCATGGCTGAGTATGTGTGAATGCTTTCACCATAAGCACATAGAGCCAAAGACCTAGGAGGGAGGGGTTGGTTCTGCACTGCCCTAGGGCCCAACTTCCTGGTGACAGGAAGCACTAAAATTATCCAAGGGAGGGCCTGGGGAGATAGCTCTGTAGAATAAGCACTTGCCTGGCAAGCTCAGGGTCCTGAGTTCAATCCCCAGTACTGAAAAAAAAAAAAAAAATTACCCAAGGTTCCAAGTATCAAACACAGCAGTTCCCCCTAATCTGAGAGGTATAAATTCCAAGGCCTCAGTGGATGCCTGCAACCATGGAGGTGCTTAACCATATATCATATTGTTTCCTGTACATACACATATTAAAGTTCAATATATTAGCAAAGCACAATAAAAACATTTACTGCATAGACTAGGCACAGTCTATACACTAAGAGGTTGACATTAACTAAATAGTAAAATACGATAATCATAAAATATAGCATACTAACTTATTTAAAACCTATGAATTAGGGTCAGTGATATAGCTCAATGGCATGGAGCTTGCCTATAAAGCACAAGGTCCTGAGCTTGATTCCTGATTCCAAAATAAAAACAAATACATAAATAGAAAAACTAAAAATGAATTCAGCTCCCATGAACTGTCTCAATATATTGATTAATATTTTTGTACCACAGATGCGTCAGAGTAACTAAACTGGCCAAGAGTGAAACTGAATAAAAGAGGGATGACTATACCACCAGGAAGTAACAGATGAGGAGGAATAAAAAAGTGCAAATTTGGCTACCAACACAAAACTTCCAGTTGACTGTGTTGTCGTTCCAATCTGGGATTCCCCCAAAGCTTCACGTACTCAGAGGTGAGGCTGGTGGAAGGAGCCTGGGTCACAGTGTACTACAGCTGACTTGCCATTAGGAGGCTTTGCTTGGAAGAGGTGGTACCTGGGATGTGACCCGGAAGAGTTCATCTCCCTCCCTGGCTCCTCCCTTCTCTCTCTGCTTCCGGGCAGCCATGACAGGAGCAGCTGTCTTCCACCAGGCCCCTCTGCCATGCTGTTTGTGCCCTGAAGATAGCTGACCATGGTCTGAAACTCCACACCAAAATAAACTCTCTTCCTTTAAGTTGTGGGTGTCAGCATTGTGTCTCAGTAATGAGAAAGTGACAAAGGCACTGTGCAAAAGCTGTGTTTAAAAGCAAGCTCGAGGGCGAGGGAGATAGCTCAGTGTCATAAACACCTGCCTAGCAAGGCCAAGGTCCTGCGTCCAATACCTTGGTACTACCCCCCAAAAAAGGTTAAAAACTAGCTCAAGAAATGAAATGAAAAGCAACGTCCTCCCTCAGCAAGAAAATGATGGTGCCAGGGTGCCCATTGTTCCTGGGGGGCCCTGCACACACTGCTGTGAAAACTCAGGGCAGAATCACCCAGCCTCCTCCATGGCTCCTATTTACCCTTGGACCTGGGGACCCGCTGGCCACCAGAGCTCACCAGCCACATACCTGATGGGGAGAGAAGGGTCTCCGGCATCCCACCAGTCTTTTGGGGGGCTGATGTACATGCACCACAGCTCCCAGCTGTACCCGTGGGCTGAGTTCTCATAGCGCTGGACCTCAAAGTTGTCCTGCTTGATGTTGTCAATGGAGGGCAGGATCACTCGCTTCCGGTTCTCCTGGATGCGGGACAGAACAGGCTCAGCCCTGCAACAGGGAAAAGGCAAGATAAAGTCTCTCTCTGGAGACACCACCGGGAAGGAACAGATGCAACGTGGCTGAGAGGCTGGGCTTTGGATAGGCTGGAACTCAGAGCGAAACTGGGGTCCCCCATGTCAAGTGACTCCCCCAAAGGCTTTGAAGTGTGTACCACTGCTTATGCTGAAATTTCTACAGGGATGAGGGCTTCAGCACAGGGAGCCTGGAGGTAGATCCAGAACCGTGGGTCTCCTCCTGGAGAGTGTCACTCCTCTCTTTTGTGGTGGCAGTGTCCTGGTATTACATGATTTGCATCCGGCTACAGTTTTATTATACAGTGTCATAAGATCTGCCTAAGGCACTGTCTGCCACCTCTTGTTTTTTTCCTGCTCCACTCTAATTCCTTTTTCCCAAAATAGGTCATTTCTTCCCTGGACGGCTCAGTTTGAATAAGCGTTTCACTAGCTTCTTTGTGCGTGCGTGCGTGCGTGCGTGCGTGTGTGTGTGTGTGTGTGTGTGTGACTATTTCAGTTGTTTTAATTGATTATTTAATTGATTTCTTAAAAGGAATCTAATTGAATTGGTTAGCAATGGAAAGCCTGGAACTAATTAAATGCAAAGGCAGGCACCATCCTGCCTCCCTCCCTCTCCCCTCCCCCTCAGGGCTGCAGCAGGCTTTCCGCAGAGATCTGGCTCCAAGTTCAAGGTGTAGCCGGCTGGCTTAGGGGAAGCAGATGGTCAGGTACTTCTGCCAGCACGGTTCTCAGAGGCAGGCACAGGAAGGGATCGCTTCCCATATTTGAGAGGGAAAAGATGGCTCCAAGAATCAGGGCATTAATCTCCCAGCTTAGACCAGAGCACAGGCTTTGGAAAGGACTCAAGTGAAAATCCCATTCCTCTGCATTATTTGGAAGAATAATGAGAACACTCAGGCTACCACTGATCTCTTTTCATTTGCAGCTATTGAATTACCTGTTGGCTCATCTCATCTTTCTATTTAAAACGAGCAATAAAATATACTCTGGGTCATTTACGGCCTTCAATACTTCTGCACACCCTGCACAGGCTGAAGCCAAGTACCATCAACCCTTCCCGGCTCCTAGATGGCTCACGAGCCCCTCCCCTTCCAATGCTTCACTCACACCACTGTCCTCTGGGACCGTCCTTTGTTGCCGGCAGAAAGCCTGGGCATCGCGGAGGCTTAGGTCCAACGTCACCTCTCCCTAGAAGCCTGCCCTACTTCCTCCCAGTAGCAGGCCTTTTCTTTCCTCTCCAACCTTGGACCATTTCCCCTACTGCTCTGAAGTCACAATGCCTCAGCCCGCTGTCCTTGCTCATCTTTGAGCTGCTGCTTATTGAGTCCTTACACAGAGCTGGGCACCATTCTGCGTGTCTTATGTGTGTGGGTGAAAGCCACCCACAACAATCCTATGAAGAGGATACTCTGATCACCATTTTACAGATGAAGAACCTGAGGCCTCGGGGGTGTGCGGGTTAAGGGACTTGCCTTGGCTACATGACCAGCTGGCAGCAGGAGCGGGTTTCAGACCTAAGCCCTAAGCTCCACCGCCTCTTTGGCTATGCTTCCCCAGGATGGCTGGGTATCCCAGATGGAAGCTTCCAGGTCAGCCCATGAATGCAAGTGAGTTACTGAGAGTAGGGACAGAGTCCTTGGTTCAAATTACACCTCTATAGCTGAGGAGTTGGCCTCACTCCTTACGACTCTTTGCAGTTATCTGCTCCTCTCCCTGGTCACATCCTGCCTAGGATGTAACAAGTATCTACGTGCATAAGGAACGGCCCATTCAGAAATTGAAAAGTGGGACCCAGAGACCATGAGAAGACAGGAATGTGAGCTTAAAAAGTAGGAAAGGGGCTGAGGATATAGTGCAGGAACATAAGCATCTGCCTGGCAGGCATAAGCTCCAGAGTTCGATGCTGGGTACTGCAATAAAAGAAAAGAAAATGGTACTACTCCTGCCTAGTACTGTGAGGCCACTTGTGCTTCCACGGACGAGAATACCTTCTCTTTCGGTCTCCAGCTAACAGGAGCTCAGAGCCAGGTGTGGTGACTAGTACTCTGGGAAGCTGAGGCAGGAGGATAGCAAGTTGAATCCAGCCAGGATAAGTTAGTAACTTAGCAAGATCATGCCTCAAAATATTTTCCTTTTAAAAGGCAGATCTAGGTGTGGGCAGAAATGATAGTCACAGCTGAGATGGCCCGACTGACAATTGCAAACTTCAGCCATTGTTCTCCATGAACCACCAAGAGGAGTATTCCTTGCATGGCAGGACCACAGGACATCCCACACAGAGCCACAGACAGGCCACAGCAGACACACCACACAAACAGGAGAGAAATAATTGGGTTCACTGAGACTGGAGATTATTACCACGACATAACCTTACAGCACCAGGTAACCTTTTACCTAGTAAACTGAGACACATCATGTAATAAAGAACTATGAAAGAGTTTTAGTTCATAAAGGGACACACACCACTGTGACTGTTAATTCCAATTCATAAGATTAAGAAACACATGGCTAGCAGGTTAGCAAAGCACACTCCTGTGTGTGGAGGTGGGACATGGACAGGTGACCTGGGGTCCGTACCTGGTCCCTGGTCCCTTTCTTTCTAGCACTGCTCTCCAGCTGATCCCTGTCCACCATGAACTGAGCACCTCTGCTCCTTTGTGCCCTTCCACCGCGACGTTCTGGCCTTGGAGTCAGTGGGTGGCAGGCTGAAAATGTGAGCCACGTCCCTCACCTAGGTGGTGGGTGGGTGTGAGGCCTTGCGTCCAGGAACATGACAGGAACTGACGCAGCCACTCTGACCAAAGAGTGGAACATGAATCTGAGTGGCTGAGTCGAGCCACAGAGACCACTCAGAATCAGAGATGCACGAAAGTGTCTCATAGCAACACTCAACTGTCACGTCCAAAAGGAAGCAAGCAAACCGCGACATCAGAACGATACAAATATGACCATCTTATCCCCTTACAGAGAATTAGCTGGAGTTCCCAGTACCACACTGTGTTCACCGGGAGATGACAGTGGTGGTGCCGGCAGTCATAACTAACTGGCTGAATGCACGGCAGATAAATGTCTTCTGGCTCCCAATTCTGTCCCAGACAATGGTCTCAGCTTACTCTTTAACCGAACCTTCTTCATGCTTTCAGGGGCACCCCACAAAACAGGCAAAACATTTCATCTCCCAGACTCTAGCTGCCTCCGGCCACACTGCAGATCCCCAGTGCCTATGAGCCTCCGTGGGTGACCTACCAGCCAGCAGTGAATTCCACGTGTGCATCGAAGAAGCCAGTGACCTGGCCGGTGGCCGCCTTCCAGCCTTCGATGCGGGCTCGGATCAGGCCCTCTCTCTTCTGATTGCGTACCACCTTCACCAGCCCAGGGTAGCGCTTGTGCACATACTCTTCCAGCGGGGCTTTTAGCTCCTCTGCAAGGGACAAAAAGCAAAAAGTCCATCAACACCCATCTAAGATCTGCACCCCGCCCATGGTGATGCCTGCAGGTCCTCAGGAAACTCAGCTACTGAAGAAACGTTTGCGTGTCAGTAATTAGAGTAGAAAAGATAATCTAGGCTGTTTCAGAGTCAGAAGGTGTCTCTTACCCAGGAGGGCTACATTCTGACGGTGCAGTGTATACTGCTTGGTGGAAAACCGGCCAAGCCTTGATCCTTCAACTGGCCCAGACTGGCAGATGCCCTTTGTCATATTTGTCTTTGTAGCCCTTCCTACATTTTTCTTTTCTTTTATTGCAGTATCAGGTATCAAGCTCTGCAGCTTATACCTGCCAGGCAGATGCTTATGTTGCTGCACTACGTCCTCAGCCCCTTTCCTACTTTTAATGCTCGTATTCCTGTCTTCTCATGGTCTCTGGGTCCCACTTGTCAATTTCCGAGTGGGCTGTTCTGTTTGCACATAGATACTTGTTATAGAATGTGGTCCAGATTCACGGTCACACACCAGCCCCAACATTAATAGGGCCTGTGCTGCTCTTAAGAGGCAAGTGAAGCCTTTTCCAGTGGCAGAAACGCTATTATCAGTGGTCGTGGCAATGCTCTTCCGAGCTGAATGCCTCCTTTCCGCAGCATGCAGGTGCCAAAAGGTATTATTTCTATCATCTAACTTAATGCTTATGGCAATGGAGAAGACTGTTAGATTAATTCCACTAACTAGTGAGATTAATTCAGTTCTGTAGATAAGATGCCACTTAAGGGAAGCTAATCTGTCCCCAGGTCACACCTAGGAAGAGTAGAGCTGAAGCAGAGCTGAACTGTGTCTGTAGCCACAGGTGAGAAGGCTGACACCTGCGTGCACATAAGAATCACCAGATGGAGAAAGGATGGGGGAAGGGTTGACCGAAGGGAGTGCCACAGGCACGCCCCAGGATCTGCCCTTGGATATTCTTAGTCACTCGTGTCTAGGAGCAACCCTAGTGATCCACAGATACAACTTTAAGACACGCTTTCATCCCTGGCTTTGCTGTGCAGAATGCTAAAAGGGTTGGATTATGGCTTAGATTTGAGAAGTCCTCTGAAGTCTCCTGTGTCTGAAAGGCTACTGGCCCTTGGAAGTGTGATACTCATCCAGGAGTTCAGTAGATAAATTGGTTAGAAGAGGCGGGTCACCTGGAAGGATGTATTCCTGGCCCCAGGTCCTCCCTTCTCTCTGCTCTCTGGCTGCCATAGATTGAGCAGCTTTCCTCTGCTCAGGCCCTTCCACTACGTTTTTTTGCCTTCAAGTCAGTTGACCATGAACTGAACCTACTGAAACCATAAGGCAAATAACCATCTCTTTATTTACAGAGTCAGGTATTTTGTCCTAGCAATGGTGAAGCTGACTAATACAGGCTGTATTACCAGACATTGTGCATGTCCTTCATTCCTTAGTACACTCAGCAGCTTTGCCCAACTCAAAGCCATGTGTTTCCAGCATAGGTAGAGCCTGATTTCTTTGTATCATGGCTGAAATGAAGCAGCCATGTAACTCAGAAAGAAAGCAGAGCATGGTGTGTTTGAATGGGGGTAAGAAAAGTCCAAAAGGGTATGGAGATATAGAAGTTACTGTCCATATGAATGGCGAGGATTAGGGAATGAATTGTGTCTCCCAAAATAACCTGTTGAATTCCTAACCTATGGCACATCCGGACATGGGTGTATTGGGAGATAAAGCCCTAAGAGAAGTGAGTTAAAATGAGGCCACTGATGAGCGGGCCTTAATCTAATCTGACTGGCGTCTTCAGAAGGAAATCTGTCACACAAATAGACTCTGGTGTTCATGTGCAGGGATGACCTTGGGAAGAGGTAGCAAGAAGGTGGCCATCTGAAGGCCAAAGAGAGGGACTGTGCTTGCAACAGCTTGATCTTGCACTTCCGGTCTCTAGAGCAATGAGAAAATAAATCTCTATTGTATAAGCCACTTAGTCCATGGTACTTGTCGTAACTGAGATGACTAACTGAGGGATGTCTATAGAAAGATGTTATCATCAAGGAGGAAAATGGAACCCAGAGGTGGCAGGCGCCCAACCTTTGCCCTCCAGGAGCCCCAGCACATGATTCATGTTGAAGCTGGAGTCAGCCTTGGGCTCAGATCCAAATGCCGCCCCTGGCCAAGTCAGCCAATCAGTTTGTTCCTCCTCTAAAGAAGGGGGACGATGATGATAGTATTGGTCTCACAGAGTGATTGTGAGGAATAAATGAGTAGATAGAGAACAAGTGCTCCAAGTCATCCCCTGAATAGCACAAGTACCCCCTAATGACTTGGCCTGTATTTATGAGTATTTTCTTCTCCTGTCTCTTCAGAGAGAGAGAGAGAGACCAGATGGCCAGAGATGTTGCAGCAGCCCTGGGAGCCTGAGAAAGCCACTCCAGCATTGATAAAAATAGGCTTATGAAAGACATAGTTGTAGAAAGCTTATCAGCATTCACTGGACATGTTGCTAGGTCCCCTCTCATAGTTTCACTTTCAGTACGTCTAAGGTAGGGATGTTTGTATCATGAGCCTGGGCATTCTAAGGCTCTGGTACGAGGAACCCACTTTAGGAGCCACTGAGCTTGAAACGCACGTGGCAGTCTTAGCACATGCTTGGCGCATCACGCGTGAACAGTAAGAGGTGTGTTTGGCACTTTGCCTGTATTGCTCTTGTTTGTTGTCATTCCAGAGTTGGTGAGGAGCCAGTGGAGAAACCAGGTTGTGTAGAGTCCACTTAGTTTGTGAGAAGGAGAGCCAAGCAGTTGAGCTTGAAGTGGCCGAGTAACTTTTCAGCTTCTAAAACCTATCTGCTGACTTTGTGTTGACTAGGTACTCCGGTCAGTCAAGTACGTTTTCTTGCAGTAAGGATCTCAGCAAGGAGGTTGGTGAATAGCACAATCTATGGTTTGGATGTGGTCTGTTCCCACCAAAATTCCTGCTGAGGATGAATTCCTCAGTGTGGCACTATCAGAAGGTGACTCTTTAGGGGGGTGGCTGGTCACAAGAGGTATGCACTCATGAAGGCATTCATGTATTTTTTTAAGAAACTTGGTTAGGTCTGAATGGAGTGTGTGAGGTCTAGTTACCACAGCAGCAGGCTGATACAGGGCAAGGTCACCCCTAAAGTTCTGCACACACCAGCTCACCATGGTCGCGCATGTTCCCACCTTGTGATGTCATCTTCCGGATGCAGCTCCCTGATCTTACATTTCTCCACCTCCAGAACTGTGAGCTAAATAAGCCTCTCCTTTGTAACTTATCCAGCCTCACTTGTTGAAGTGGCACAAGACAGAGTTGGACAGTTGGGCAGGTCATTCTTGCCTGGATTTTCATTTATTCCTAAGAGAGCTGTGTGGGTAGACAAGGGAAGGAAGGGCGTGTCACCCACTGATGGTAGGTAATGGGCTAAGGAGCGGTGGTGTACCTGTGGGACCCTACAGTGGCAATCCTCCCCCCTCAATAGAGTTGGCCATGGGGGGTGGGAACCCCCATCAGTTCAGGGGAGACCTTCTGTATAGTGAGGGTGCAGCACCACGCCAAGGGATCGGCAGGCACCACCAACCTCAACTACCAGACAAGCTGAGAATAACTGGATCTCTGCCCAGTACCTGGATACCAGCTCCTGATTACAGCAGGTAGCAGGTCTAAGAAGCCAGTGATTCTATTTGTTAACCAGTGGTAATTGAGGTGTTGGGAATGTGAAAAGGGTAAACATTTATGAAGTTGGACAAAGACAGCATAATTTTTACATCTTAAAGCTACTGAAATATGGATATTAAAGGCTTTTAAAAGTATAAAGGGATGAAAGGATAATGCTCAGTCATTTGGCACATGCTTTATGACCATTTGGAGTACATGAGGAGCTACACTGAAAGCCTTCAGCATGTACCCAATAAAAATTATTTCTAATAACTGGGCTATTATTCTTAACATTGCAGATCCATTTTATAACTTCCAATGAAGAACAGTGTGTCTTCCTTTCTGGTCAATATTGTCTTAAGAGCTGGGATCTGCTTTATCCCAGACAGAAAATGAGAGATGCCACTCTCATTTGTAAAAGGGTCAGGGACACAGCCAGCAGAAGTCAAGAGAAAACGGCACTGATCAGGCTTCTATGCCAGCCTATTCAGTAAGGTTCTGTGCTCTGCAACGCATGAGGCTGTACTCTTGCTAATCAAAGAATAATTCAGACCCAAGCATTCCCTCAAGACGCTTCCAATCTACTTCAGAAGATGAGACATGTTCAAAAACTGTTATATTCAACATTACCAAGTCAGTGGCACTAAGGGTCCAAGAAAAATGGCCACACAGGAAAAGGCTACAGGGGGCACCAGCAGGGGGCAGCACTTTGGCTGCAAGAGCTCCTAGAGGAGGGGGTGTGAGGGAAGCTCTATGTCACAATACATGTACACAAAGAAAAGCACGGAAGCACAACACCGGGTCCACTCGGGTGGAAAAAATCCCAAGGGTCAAAGTTTCAGCCTAGGTGACTAGGAGGTTGTCATTAATTTTAAAAAGAGAAAAGGAAGAGTAAGTTGATGATACCATCTGGGGACAACTTGAGATGTCTGTCAGTGGACATTTAAGGGTACAGAGATGAAGCTGAACGATGGTCCAGGGAAGAAAAGATGTCAGGGACTAAGTGAGGATAGGTGATGGTGTATGACAGGGTGACAGTTCCAGAGATGGAATGCAGAAGATTTTGAGCCACATCTTAGAACACATACATTTAAAGGCAGGAAAAGGGAGCAGAAATCCGCACTACCTACGAATGGCATCACAGGCGCACAAACTACAAAAAGCCGGGTTTCAAAGAGGAGCACTGCTCGCCGATTTTCCACACACCTGTAGAGAAGCTATGTGGGTGTTGTCATAGGTTCGGGGACTTTGCAAGGCGAGCAGTAAAGTACAGAACACCTTTTATAATAAATCACCCAAGAATCACATACAAGAAGTACAGGAA